TATGGACGAACTGCGCAACAGTTTCGGGTAGAGAGCTACCAGATGTTTGGCATTTTCAATACTAGGTTATGCTCTTTCAGAAATCTCAGATGTTTGAAACTTGATTCTAATTTCACAGGAAGTTTGGGGTTTTCTTTTCTTTGTTTCACTTTAGGATTTCGGAGATAGTGCTTCTGAGCTACGGGAATGGAGACCAGTCATTTACAGAAAGTGCACAGACACTGTCTGGTTGCTCCTCTTCTTTCTTTTCTGGACTGGTTTGGTAAGCATGCTTCTTTCTGAAAGAAAAATCAGCTCCAAAGTTAATGGGGTTGTGCACAGTGGTATACTAGATCTAAACTGAAATTATTCATGAGGACAGGATTGCACTGGGACAGAACTGACCTTTGTGGTGGTGCAGTGCTTTATTGCTGTGTCTGTTACACAGACTTAAGTTCTGACTGTATGCTTTAGATGCCATGTATACACAGCGCTGGGCTATTTAGAATTTGCTTTTTTTGTAGTGGCTGAGCTCTGATTTCTGCTTATTCATTGCAGTCTTGTTTTCTTGCAACATGTTTGTGTGATGTTATATCATTATCACTATAGTCATTATCTGTCCTGTGCTTAGAACAGCATGCAAGCTTTTGGGAACAGGTTGTGTCTTTCTTAAGTATGAATGTTTTTTCATGATATGTCTGAGGCTACTCAGGATTCTTGTGAATATGCTGTTAATAAGTTTTCAGTTCAGTTCTTAATAGCTCTTTTAATGGAAGCTAATGCAGATAAACACATACACATTTTGAACACTGCATAAGCTGAAGCTGGACTTCATGAACAGGATAGGTTTTTTTACATGCTGTCTTATGCTTGGTCCTTTGATCAGTGGAGGGAAAAATGAAACCTGTCAAACGATGAGGATTTAGGATTTTTGCTTGTTTCTCTCACTGTTTTTATTGCTCAGTTTCTGTGAAATAGTTTATTGCATACATGTATTTATTTTCTTTTGTTTCATCTTATTTCTAGAATGTGAAAAAGGTTTTGGTGACACTGATTAGTTCACATGGTGAAAAAAATTGAAACCATGTTAGTAACTCTGTGGAAATGCGTATCACTGGCATGTATAGACACATCCCTCTAGCAGTCATACCGCCATTTATTACTTAACAATATTTATGGCTTGTATCTAGCATTCAGCACTTTAAAAAAAAAAAAATCACATATACCCAGTATTTGCTGTACTGATGGCAATGGATGTGTAACATCCATCTTTAGAAGGAATGCCAGTTTTTCTGAAAGCATATTTCAGGTTGAGTTACAACACCAGTTCATTTCTCCTTTTTCTTCTGAGAACAATTTAATTATTAAAAAAAGATTGCTATGTAAATAAACTAGGCCTGAAAATATTTTGTTATTGTAACAAATATTACACAAGTGGTATGTCTGCTTTAATTGTAGAGTCTCTATAAAGATCTCCGTATTGAGATGGCATTAACATACGTCATAAGTTAAAAAAAAAAGTTATTTAACTAGTTAGACTGCAAGCATATAAGCGAAAATGAGACTACATTGGGGTCTGAGGAAGCACATACTTACATGTTTGTGTATGAGACTCAGTTTTTGCCCAGATTCCATCTTTAGTCACAAGTGTTAAAAGTAAAATTGCAAATAAAGGCTCTAAACCCTTTAAGAAAGCAATTGTGCTGGATCCGATAAGTGCAATCTGTCTCCAGCAGAGCTGATGCTCAGCACAGTAGTTGTGGTTAGTGTGGGACTGAGATGACTTGCTGCTGCCAGCAGTTGGCAGGTAGCCATAGAGCTTAGTGTATTGTCCTCGGTGTGTGTGAAATGTGGTTTTTACCCCACGGGACAGAGGAGATGATTGAATCACTGAGTTCTTCAATAGCTGGAGTGCTGTAAATAAGCCTTTGGGTAAAGTTGTGCCTGGGACTTCACCGACTTCCCGGAAGAAGAATTACTGCTTCTTGGCACTTGGACAGGTTCTTTTCAAGGGGCGTTTCGGCCTTCGTGGAGTACGTGAGCAGGGTTTAATCTGCATTCCTAGGCAGAGTGTCTTATATTGACTAAGGGTTGCTGCTACTTGCCCATCGGGGGTGCTTAGCTGCCCCTGGGGTTTACAGGGAGCTGATCTGCTGGGGCTTTGATCGACAGCAGAGCATCTAAAAGATCAGTGTAGTGTCACCTAAGTCCACAGCATGGCGCTCTCCAGGTTTTTCACGTGTGTTAGAGAATGCATCTTCCTGAAATTTTGGGTAACCTGCATTTTAATTCTACTTCACGTGTTTAAAATATACCTCTGATTAAATTCACTAGCAGCTGCAAAGGCTCAACATTTCAGCAGCTATATTTCCTAGGTGTGTCTTGAAGGGCACCCTGAAAAAACAGAAGTGGTGAGCACACGTGAAAAATTACCATTTGAGTGACCTTGCTTAGTGACACACATAAACTTTGGTAGAGACAGTGTTTAGCACCTTACTACTGCTTTCCTATTATTTTAATCAGGACTCCTATCTTTCTTCTCCTGTGATACTCCGCTTAATTTATATACTTTCAGCAATAGATGATGGAAAGCTCTAAGGAGGTAATAGGGCTAAACTTGTCTGTATGACTTGCTCCGGCCTTGTGCGGAGGGGTGAATTTCAAATTTAACTGTTTGTATCCGCAAGACAAAAATGCATGGGTTAAAAGGAGTATTTATTGAATGGGAGGGAAAAGCTATTGTAGCATGATTTCACATTAAAAAATATTTTAACAGATGTTTATAACTGGCTATGCTGTGATGGCTGGTGCTGCAGAAAGACTTGTGCTTGGATATGACAGCTTCGGGAACATATGTGGTAGGAAGAACACTGCTGTAAAAGGGGCACCCCTTTCTGGACAGGACATGACTAATAAAAAGTAAGTATGTCAGATAATGTCTAAATAAATCAAATGTTTGAAAATTTAATAAGATATACATCTGCTAGTAGTCATACATATATCTGTATATACACATGCTTATATTAAAAGGCAAAAAAAAAGGTGTGAGAATGGTGCAAAAATGGTGAGTGAAACTAAAAGGCTGAGAGAGAATTTGAAGATGTGCTACATCGTTATGCTTTATGCTGGCTTCTTCTTAAATAAGGTCTTACACAGGACTTTGGCCAAACCAGCAGTCATTCTATATGGCAAATCTTTGTACTTAAGGAATTTGCATGTTAAATTTCCCAGTCATTCTGTCAATTCCCGTGAACTAGTCCTTGTAGAATGGCACCCACCTTGGCAGCTTCTGATGCCATTTAAGAACATAAAATGAAGTGTGAAAATGTAGGATATTCTCAAATTGCTTCTTAACTTCTGACTTCAGACTCCCTTTTTTTCCATTAAATGTGGAAAAAGAGTTTGTTAGCTTTGTAGCACTTTAAAAAGGTGGAAAGAAGGCTCAGAATTTAAACCTATAAACCCCAGAAATCTTGTTTTTTGAAAAGAAGATCTTTTTTTCTTTCTAGGTATGTGTTCTTTCTGAATTCATGCAGCCTGGAAATGCAGAGCCTCAAAAGCAGTTCGCTTTCCTTGTGCGTGTCTAGTTGTCCACAAGAGCAACTCAACTCTTTGGAAGACCTCCAGAGTTTTGCAAGGAATAATGGTGTGCAACAGGGAATATAAATATCTTAGTGTGTCTGTAGAACAGTTGAGCAGCTTTCACTTTGTTATTTTTATGTTTGCTACACTAGGGAGTAATTTCTTACCCTTAATTTCCTGAGCAGTTCATGGCAACAGAAAATGAAATGTCTTGTTTCTGCTTTATTTCCAAGCCATAGTTTCTAGAAATGTTATAGCTCTCTTATGCAAATTTAAAAGTTGTTGATTAATTCCTGCACAATGCTGAGATTATCCAGCAGAAAACTGGCTGCTGAGAATTAACTGGTGTAGTTCGGTAGAGGTGCCAGTAGGTGAACAGAGCTCATACGCTATTTGAGAAACCTGTGCAACTGCTTCTGTTAAATTTAGTTAAAACTATGGTGGAATTACTAATTCCAGAGATACACAAGTGTTTTTATCCTTTTAGATGTCAGATCCCAAAGTTTACTATTCCACATACAATTTTTTAAATTTTACTCTGGTGTTCAAGATGAATATGATGTCAGAAGTAGCTAAACATGGTCTGCATAAACAAATATTAATGGCTTTTTTTTTTTTTGGAGGTCAGAATTCTATTCTTTTTTGTTTTGTTTGGCAAGGATTGCTAATTAAATTGACAACATTTGTCTTAGTTTCATTTTGGGATATTTTGCCATCATTTGGTATGTACAGCAAGTTGTAAACACCCATGATAGTATGTAAATATTTTCAGTGTAACTGAATATAATTGCATGAAATTCCATCTACATGCTAAAACTGCTTGCATCTTTATCTCAAGGGAGAGGGCAGTATTGCATTTGGAATGGCTTGAATGTATCCAGCCTTTTTTTCCCAGAAGCATTATGTAGTGGAGCAGAGCATTATTAGCTGAGTACCTGGTAGTATCTAGCCTCAGGCCCAGAAAATGTTACCTTTCTGGATGGATATATATTCTGTTCTAAATCATGAGGGCCCTAGTTCTAGTGTAGCTTTAGGTTTTTCTGTTATCATATCTTAATGAGTAAGAGTTTAGAGCCGACGTATCGCACTGTGGAACAAATAGCATGTCTGCCCTCTAGGAAGATCAGTAAATGGTAATTATAGTTAAGTCTAGAAGGCAAAACATTTGCAGAGGTTGCTTTAGATTTGCCCAATTAACTAATTTGTTATTTACATTTGCACTGGAATATCAGGGCTGAATATGGCCTGCTAAGGGATCAGAGCAGAAGTGTAAACATAACTGATAATGTGTTTTTCTCTGAAACTTTAACTAATATTAAGTTACCTTTTTTTTTTCCCTTCTTAGGTTCTTGTCTTTGTGTTTACAACCTGAACATTTCCAGTTACACACTAAATCCAAAGGCAGCTGAGCTGTGTCCCACACTGCCAGTTCCACCGAGGTAAGAATTACTAGTACTTTACAACACCCTTGAGTCTAGATAGCTTCTTAAGGGTTGTTACTTCCTCACATTTTGCATTTGACTTGGTATTTCACAGTCACAATGGTTTTGCTTTGTTTATTTGTTTTTGTACATGTATCCTTACGAGTTCTCGTGTGTATCTGTGAACGTGGCAGTGACCTGTCCCACAGAATGAACAAGGACTACATTCCCTCTATTCCTCTACCCTTTAGAGAATTTTTCTCTCCAAATCAGGAGCAAAACACTCCTTATGAGGAGCAACTTACCTCCTGCACAGACTTTTGCTCTCTCCCTCAATGCCAAGGAAGAAGAGCTGTGGTCTTGTGCCTTCCTTGCTGTCCTGAACCAGAAATTTCCATCAGAATTAATTCATAGCCAGCTGGCTTTAAGCACAGGTCTGTGGATGGCACTGTCTTTAACATTTGGCACTTTTAAGTCAAAATCCTTAAACCCATGATTTTAAACTCCACTATGTCATGAAAATAGAACAAAGAATTGGAATCTGCATGTTTGCAGAGCTAAGTCATCTGCTCTGAACTAGAGAAAACAGTGGAAAAATGCAAAGAGAAGAGAGCAGGAATCACATAAAAACATTACATACAGCAGATCAAAGGAGAGCATGAAAAATGATGAAAAAATATGGCATGTTTTACTTCTTCGACTTTTTAGGCTTTTTTCTGTTTGGCAAGGAACTCAGCAAAGTTACTAATCTTGCATAGTCATGTTTCACAGTAGAAGCAAAGCTGGTCAGAGAAGTTTTTAACTGTTGATAAATAAACCTCCTCTTTTTAGGTATAGAATCATAGAATTGTAGAATGGTTTGGGTTGGAAGGGACCTTAAAGATCATCTAGTTCCAACCCCCCTGCTGCAGGCAGGGACACCGTCCACTAGACCACGTTGCCCAAAGCCTCATCCAACCTCGTCTTGAACAC